GTACTGTTTGAAACCAGTTCCTCCCGTCTGGTTCATTTCGGAACCATACACACCGTACTGAAGAGATATTTTAAGTGGTGCTACAGCAGACCTGCATCATATCTTTCTACCTTCACCATGAAAAACTTCAAATCTCATGTGGTTAATGGATTCTTGCCGGTGTGCATGTGCAATACAGCTTTACTCCAGTGACCCTAGTCAAGTTAGTTTTGGAAACCTGTCATCACTCCTATTTTGCCATTGGTTGTGTTTCTTCTTGTTCTCACGATTTTTATCACCTCATACAGTTACATGTCACCAGTTTGATAACCAGCCATGCGACCGCGCTCCATGGCCTGGTTCCAAATGGTCAACTAGATAAAAATGGAGATAGATAGTCCAATCATCTATTGTTCGGGTCACCTTGGCTATGCTGCAGTTAAGTACTGCCATTGCTCAGACCTGCCCTCAGTTTTTAGATTGTCTTGAAAAACAACAAAAACTGCTGAAAAAAAATGAAACACATCAAAGTTAACAGCAACTTTTTTTACAGTTTATTTATACTTTTTCATTGCTTCATCAACAAAAATTTAAGAAATAATGGAAATTGGAGCAAGAATCATTGAACAAGTATATTTTATGCAAATGAACAATTCTACAATTCCTTAGACACTTCAGTGTGTCCAAACCCAGTAATGTAGTGACTTTAACCACTTCCCACCGGGGTGCCCGGTTTCGGGCACCGTGTGTTTAAACACAGAGCCGGGGTGCCCGGTTTTGGACAAAAGAGCTGGTCTGTCTAACAAAAGACTGTACTCATAACAAAGGACCTGCTGCTGGAAATTGCCATCATTTTTCGACTTCCATTTTTTTAACATAATCCGCACTGTTTTGAAACAGTATTTTGGGCATAGCACGCCCGTGGATTAGCACTGCGGATAAAAGTGCTCCAGGGACCCATTGATGAGCAACACAGTGCCACTGCTCACTAATCCAGCTGCGTGTGAAAAGACGCAACTGGCATTCATCGGAACAAAGGAAATTATGCAACATCTCACAAATCTGGGCTCTCTTTTACAGGGCTGTAGGCCTGGGCTGAATACTCAGGCGTCAATGAAGGTTGCCTGTCAGATTAGAGTAGCCGCTAGCCACCAGAGAGTCGTTCATGTGGGTATAAACATCCAGTAAATGAACCCATGAATTTTTGAAGAATTTTGAAAAAGGAAAATCTTGAAAAGGTCCCGCAATCTCATCCTGCTCAAGAGAAATCCACCTGGCAGGAAGTGGTTAAAACGCTTTAGACATTTTTACACCCAAAGCTAAATTTCACAGAACGTTTTGTTTAAATTTGAAAAACAAATAATTCTTTTGGAATGTGATCATATCCGAGAATTGAAATAATTTTATGTGAAGTGCTACTTTCTAATCTTTGTCCACATTCTTACTCCGGAGTCGTTCATTAGGCAGAATGGCTGAACACAGGAATGGTAGAACCAGAAATGCTACCCCTATTATTAGTAATGTTGGTAACTGCTGTCGCTGGTTCCTAGCAGTTTTTGGCATGCAACTTGCTTGTAATTCTCTCGTTTAACAGCAATATTGGGCTAAATTAAAGCTCCTATCGCCAGTTGTGCTTAACTTGTACAGCAGCTGAGCATGGCATTACAAGAAATCAGATGTGTTTTGTGCTCGAAGAAACACTGGCAAGTTTTGGCAGAAAACGGAAGTTGATTGGAAAGCTCAGGAAAAATTGAGAGTCTTTGCACCTGCATCACCTGTCAGATGACAGACCTTCATCGATGAATACATGTATCTCCACTTGATACAGTCTTCGCTTGCTCCTTCAATTATGCATCTGCATCCTTGTCTGCAACATCCCAGGCCTCCTCCTGAGGTTTCTCTGCTTCCTCTGTTGCCATGGCAGCTTGCTCAGGGGTGTCTTCAACTACTGAAAAGTGGAAAGATTTTTGTGTATGTATGCAAATTTATGTGACAGTGCACAGATGCCTTGACTTTGCTTAGGTTTGTCACGAAAATGTTACTGTTACAACTGTCACAATTCTTTGTACACTGTCACTCTCGTATATCACTTAACCCACAGTTTATTTCATTTTTTGGGATTTACAGGTTTAAAAAGTTAAAATAGCATAAACATATGATTTAGACAAAACAAACAGGATAATATCCTACAGTGACTGTTTCAAAAACACAACCATGAGAGGAGAATGCACATTTAAAGTGAGTGTAAAGATGCATTTTAAAACATTAACCCTAACACTCCTCAGTCCTCCAACAGGTGAAGGATTGAGGAGTGTTAGGGTTAAAATGTAATCACCTTGTTGGAGAAACAGGACCCAGGTTGATATTTGCATGTCTGCTTCAAATGCATTTAACAATGCATAATATTTACATGTGTGTCCCCTTCCAATGGCCAGCAATACACCAAGTCTTATTACAAATGCTGTCTTTCAAAGTAAAATTTGTCAAAACTTGTCCAAAAGTCCTCAACTTTTTACCATAGATATGCATGTACATGTAATGTCGCACATTTGAATATACATGTACGTATAAATCCTCTTTCATGTAAGGTCAGATGGCCTGTTGACCTTTTCTTTTCCTTCTTACCTTCATCCTGTTCTGAATTTTCATCACTTTTCTCCTCTTCTATAGTGGGATCTTTGCTTTGTTCCCCCTCTTTCTGAATGGTATCTTCTTGCTCCTCCGTTGCTGTTTCCTGTTGCTCGGCAGCACTTTGTTCTTGCTTGGCAACCAGATGAGTCTGGTCCATCTCTGAAAGATTTATCAACAATGTGTGGCAAGTGAACTTCCTTTTGAGAAGAGTGGACATCAATAAATCACAGTAGAATGATACACTACCAAAAAAATCAGTCTGCTCTTGTTGAATGTTTACATATTCTTAAAGGTACAGTCCACCGTTTACAGTTATAGCAACTGAGAAAATTATTATTGAAAAGCATATTTGGGTTAAAGCTGGCCAACCTCCCGGTGAAATTATTCTTTCTGGCAACTTGAGCTGTCAGTTTTAAAATCAAACAATAAAAAAGTCCATTTCCAATGCTGAACTTTTGGAAAATTGCCATCAGAAGCCCATGTTAGTGTTGACACAACACACATGCACGCTTGGTTATTGTAATTTGTCCGCTGAGTGCTTGGCGTCGCATAGCTGCATTGAGCATGGGACCGTGTTCCAGATGCTGAATTCAGCCACAATTCAGAACACAACTTTTGATTTGAAATCAAAATCCTAGCATATTGTTTTCCCTGAAATATACAGAACATTGTATTCACTGAGTTGATACTTCCTCGGGTTGGTGAGTAATTTTTGTTGCAACAAAGGAACATGAATGATGCACAAATGACGTAGGATTGATTGTATGATATGATATATGATGGATACCTTTACTGTTTTCAGCTGTTTTCCATTTTCCTCCATAATTATCCTGGATTTCAATTCAAAATGTAATTATCTAGCAGAAGGGAAAAAAGACAATGCTGACTTTCATTTTTCAATTCACTAAAACTGACTTGAGTAGGATTCGGACCTGTGACCCAGAGAGTACTAACTGGTGCCCTGCAAGCCATGCTGTATATATGGACCCACATGGTTGGTCCCCCAAGTAGCCCACTACCTTTGTTCAGAGGGGACTCAGAAGCCATCTTTAACATCCATAATACACTGCAGTGTTCTCCAACCTACAGAAGCAGCCTGAAGGCCCACCAAGTTTTGCTTGTCTCCCACCAAGTTAAAACGGTGCCACCCAAGCTTCAACATCTGGCCAGGAAGTTCTACATTTGAAGTGCTGCATTTTGGTAATTCCAGAAATTAGGGGTCCAAAAGTTGACATTTTGGTGTCCCTGTTACATCTGCATCTGACCTTTGTTAATCAAAATGGAAATATCACCGGAATTAATTTCAAACTATTACTATTTGTCTGGCAGGTGAATCGTCACTCTTTGAAATTAGAAAAAATGTTCTGAACTTACAAAATCACTTGTCGGATGTGACAGGGACATGAAAAAAAAGGACCCCTAATTTCAGGAATTACCATATTCTGATGAAAAAAACTGCTTGTGTGTAAAACTGCTTTCAATTTGTAAACAAACACTAATAAACTTCCTCTTAGATGTCCAGAAATGCTCAAAACCTGAACTAAAAAAAATGAGGAGGCCTAAACCTGGGCTCAAACCTCGTCCTACGGTTATGCCTCACCCTCCCCTGCTTTAATCATTTTATCAGTCCCTACTGAGTTTAAAATTTACAGCTTGGAGAACGCATCATTCTTTGCAATAACTTATAAGGCTTAAGCCATTATAAGTAGATGCAAAGTAAAGATAGGTTAAGAGATCTTTGACAACTGTGAACGTTTGCAAGGTTTGATCCCTTGGTCTGGGAGATTCATGCCTGCAAACCTTCATCTGATGGTTGGCATTGCTCCACTGCTCCACCGCCGTCATCCTGCTGCATGGCAACGGTCACCAGCACTTCAACATTCTCACTAACAGGTGCTGGTTCACCTACGTCACCTGATCCACCTGCCAAGAGAGAAATGCAAAAATCATTGAGAGGAAAGTCAGTTACATGTATACTCGGTGCAGATTTTGAAAAATGAAATTTCTTCTTGTCTTGTCATTATATATTCAATGTCTCGTCACTTTTATTGATTGTTCAAGATTTAGTACATTAGCTCGCAATAATTTTATTAATTTCCGGCTCTAGAGATTAACTCCTGAGTTCAGCTGAAGAAAACAACAAATGCATCAAAGAAAAGAAGAAACAGAAAAAAAACCTGTACTGCCCGATAGGAACTGTCCTATTTCTTATTGCACACAAAATTACCACAATTAGAGCTTCAATCAGTGCAGCAAACTGTGTGGACTTTACATGGAAGGATCGATCCTCTTGTAAATACCGGTTATAATCTTCATAATCTGAAACTGAACGGCGTCTGTGGTACTTCAGAAGCAAGTAACTGAGCATCCGAAGTCTTTCCATATTTACTGTCCATGGCATTGACACAGTGTCACAGTTTTCTGAACATGTTTTTTTCGCGGGCATGATACATGTATTTGATACCCTGAAAGAAAATAAGAAAAACGTTTCCTACAGACCCAAAAAGTCTAACGATGCCAGCAGACGGTAGAGAATGTTTAAAGTGGAAGAAATAGTTTAAAATGAAAGGAGAAGCATCTGAAATTCTATTAAAATAGGAAAAATACCAGCCGTTTTTGGAATTGTCTCCTTTCCTATTGTATTGTAGCCTATAACCCCTCTGCTCTTTCTGAGAGTGAGTTTTTACTCACCTAAGACCTCCGGGTTGCATTCCTCCACTCTCTCCTGCTTCTCACCATCACTCAATTGGCTATTCCTCCTCATCTTAACGATCTTCCAGTATCGTTCCTGGACTCGTTCCATCATTTCACCATGGGTGACTGGATCATAGCCAGAATCTGTTAGAGAAAAGAACTTTTTTTTCTTCAAATTCTTTTCTTCAAAAGATAGTTGATAAACCCTTGGAAATGTCAAACAATGGCTACAAACAATGGCTACATGCACTGTTTGGCATGCACAAGGATTTATTTACAACGAACACAGGGCGAGGGTTCCCCTCGTTTTTTCTGTTTTCTCCGAATGACACAATGACACAGAAAAAAACCCTTTTTAGCTTGCTATAGTTGAGCTCTGAAGACAAATGACACTACGTTCGATTTGGATGATTCCATATTTGTTTGAACAGATAAAATCAGAAAAAAAGTTTTCCTCAGAGGTGCTCGTTAACATCAAAAAGGAAACAATTTTTCATCTTTTTTCGTAGGCAGTTCACTGACTGAAAAATGAAAGTAGTGAACTAATTGGCAAAGATTTCTGTTCCTACAATCCACCTGATGTCAGCTTGAGTGCATACTTCACTCTGTAAGCTGCCCTTATGTTTTGTGTCACCCTTCTCGTCTCCGCATTTTTGTATTCATAACACAAATCCGCACAATGTCCAAAAAACGGGATTCTTGACAAGTGTCAATCTCCAGGTCAGTTGTGTCGATTTTGAATGCAATGTATCATTTGGTGTGCATCAGTTTCCATGTAAACAAATGTATTTAAGAAACAAAAATGTGTGTAAATGTATAAGAAAAAAACAGAAAATATGAAGTGCTTAGAGAAAAAAGCATTATTTGACGTGCCAGGAAAGAAACACATTCATTTTCTTTTAAATTCCACATAACTTGCTTGTTTGTGGCTAATTGACAGAAATAAGATTGGCGGAATAGCAAAAATAACCTGTCCATTTGTTTTGCATAGGCAACGGTTCAGCATGATTATGATGACTACCTAGACAAATGCTACTTCTGACTTCTCTGCAGGATTGTTTGAATTCACCAAACTGAATTATAGACAGCTAGTTTTATACAATCTGCACTCAACCTAGCCTCACACAAAGTCTTTGAAAATCTCTCTCCTGGAGAAAAAAATTGTGCCCATTTCAAAAGACTCTCCCAGGAAGAGGTGGGATGCAAACCTTTATACCTGAACTTTAATCCAATTATCTAGTGACCAAGCCATGTGGCTTTGAGCTTTACAGAAATCCTGAGTGGCATTCAATGTACACTTTTATTAGGTTAGAAAGATGTGGCCAATCAATCTTAATGGGATTTTCCTCAACAGTAAGTAACCCCTCTCTGTCTGTGAATGATCACACTCAGATTTTCTTTTCTGTTCTTTTCCTTTCTTTTGCCTGAAGTAAATTATGGCTGGAGGCCACAGTACAAAAGCAAAGGAATGGTGAAAAAAAATGTCATGCTGGGGCGGATCCAGACATTTTTCTAGGGGGTGGTCAGGCCGGAGATTTTTTAATGTCTCAGTTTTGTGGACACGCAGAAATGATGAAATATTGGTGCATTTACAATGTAGTATTAGAAACATTATTCTGTCAGGCCAATAGTATTTACAAGACTACATGTATCTAAAAACTGTTGAAAATACCTTAATTTGAAACATTTTTATATTCAAAGTAGTGTTACAGGTGACAATTTGAGGCAAGGCCTCCCACTTGGGTGATATTTCTGCAAACTGCGGCCATCAATTCCACTTCGCATGGCTGCGCTCTTCAACCCAACATTGAAGAGCTCATGGTATGTCCACATTATTTCTTCTGACACTGTTAATGTCACCAGGGCCTACTTTAAAAAATATTTGGACATCTTCTTTTCCAACTCAAGACCACTTTTCTCTCCAGAAAATGAAGCTCAGGCAGAATTTAAATTTAGGCCTAGGCCCTGTGTGCAGTTCGATAAACCATGAGCCCCAACAGAATCAACGGTAGAATTCATGGAGATCACCAACACCTTCATTAGGCTTCAACAATGCTCCGTTTAGGGTGCACACAAACTTAATGCCCATGATCATGATGGTCCTACAAGTGCTTTATAATTATTAGGCCTACTTTATCTAGGCCTATAGTACTTCAGAGTACCTTCTCTGATTGCAAGGAGATCATCCAGGAATCCAGCGATGAACTCCAATGTTTTGGTTGGCTTTTCTCTCAGCACCTCTTGGGAGATGAGATGGAGTATGTTCTGGAATCCAGGAGGAACACTTAGCTCCACTGGGCCATACCGCATCGACATGATTCTCGCTTATGTTTCTCCTATGAGGCCAGAAACAACCAATCGAGTTAATATTCTTACTATCTTACTACCGTGGTACAGCACTGTACAGCAAACTTTCTCAGGCTTCCGTGCTGAATATGCTGAACGTGTTGACTTTTTCATTCGCAGAGACCTTCAAGTTCAGGCTACTAAGTACAACACGACTGTCACTGATGCCGCATTCCAGGTTCGCCAAGACACGTTAATGAAGTCTCAACTTACCCAAATGATCTCGCTCAAAGCTTTGGTTATGCAAACTAGACGGGAGAAGCCATATGACATTGCATGATGTGATGAAGTTTGGCAGTCGAGGGAAATTTTACGCTGATGATCGATCGGCGCGCGCGACGGGTCAGGCCAGCGCCACGCACGCCCCATCCACACGCGAGACGGCGGGCCACACGCGCCACGCGTTTCCACGCGTCGACACGTTGCAGCCACGCCCCTGAATCAAGAATGATCTACGTCGTGCTTGCAGGGCGCCAGCACGCTTGAAATTTAACTCTGTGGTCAAGGATGGAAACATAACCAATTTTCGTTGGGGCATTTTTGGGAAGCCCCCAAAATCTGGAATTCATATACATGTAGTATCATGCCTATTAAGGGGTGAGGCTAAATTGTGCGGACTTTTTACACACGTTTGTTATTTTTATTATTATGGTGTTTTATTTAATCATCATTGCCGCCAAATTAGTAATGTGGTTTATTGCATTACATGTCGTCGCTGTGATAAACTATACATCAGAGAGACCAAGCGTCGCCTTGGTGACCGCTTCGCGGAACACCTGCGCAGTGTGCACCAACAAACAACTGGTCTCCCTGTTGCGCAGCACTTATGCGCGCCGCCACATATACCCTCGGTGACGTAAGCGTCTGCATCCTGCGGGAAGCGTCATCCGATGTACAGCGTAAGGAACTGGAGCAGCGCGTCGTTTTCGAACTCGGAACGCTGCATCTTGGGGAAATGAACGTGGATTTTCCGCGTTCGTACAGAACTGAATCTGCTTGCCCTGAAGAAAGTACTCAGTTACCGAAAGCTCGGCAATCACATATTTCAGAGCACTGATTTGATATTATATTCTCGTCGATATTCTGAATAAGGGCGATTCACAACAGTGCGCCACCAAGAGTTTGCAATGCGTTGGCCAATCATAACGCGCAAAATTTGTCGACCCTTTCTAAACGCGCGCTGGGTCGACAAATTTCGCGCATTGTGATTGGCTAACGCGTTGCAAACTCTTGGTGGCGCACTATTGGGAAACGGCCGTATTCCACATGATTTCACAAGGATAATATTAAATACAAGAAACAATTATACAAAGATTTAAATAAAAAAATGCAAAGAGCGAACCTCTGCGATAATTATTATCAGCCAAGATGATCTATGGCCTGATGGATTTAATTACGTGTGTTCAAAAGCCTGGTATACAGAAAGGAATCGGGCTATTTTTAAACCGCTCATCAGTTTTACCTATGACTTCCTTTAACGGGTTACGATTTCTTAAGTTCCTAGATGTGGCATTATTTAATGGCAACCAGTGGCGAAACTGAGGAGATTTCGCAAGTGACTCAGCGAATTTTAAGTTTTGACAGACGCAAAGAAAAAAAATAGTCTCAACGAAATTGCCTTTTCTCGGTGTTCTCGACACTTTTACAGGGGGCATAGATTCAGTTAGCGGTTGAGCTTAGATTTGTCGAAAGCAATGGGAAATGCGTTTTGGGGCGTGGCATACACATTGAAACCGCAAGATTTAAAAGCAGCAGGTCACCATGACGTCATTTTACTTTGAACCAGTGGGGACGCCGCGTCGTCGTTACTTAGCCGCTTTTTATGACGTTAGTGTCACATCTGTGTTTTGTTTTTTAATCGTGCAGTGTTGCAGAACAACATTCGATCGCGTCCAAGAAAAGATTAATATAAGAATCTCAGCTCCCAATTACCCGCTAAACTAATGGAGGTTGTAAAATCCAAACACCAAGGCCAGCAGTCTGGCACCAATTTTACCCTTGGTGACGACAATGTCTCGCTAACGTCGTCATACTATAAGGACTACATCGAGACCAAAACAATGTCATCCGATTCGTCCAGAGGGGAAGAATACGTGAAACCACCACTGGCCATGCCACCTCCTTGCGCCAAGGTATGCGGTAGGCCTCAAAAGAGAATTAGAAAGTTACGATCTTCAGCAATTCCGTATATTGGTGACATCACCGTCATGTTTCAAAATTTGAAAGTCTGCGGGTGTACTGCAGCGTAATGAAGAAAAGTGTATTGGTTGAATATCTTGCAGATGATGTGCAAGTTGATTTCATTTGCATTTCTCTGATAGGTCTAATGGGCTGATTTCTGATCGGTGGCTTATTTTTATTCACTTTCCTTACCCCACTTCAAAACTTTACACTGAATATCTTATGAAGACAACAATGGAGTACTAATAGACGGGCTCCTCAAAATAAACATTTTAAGATTGTCATTTATTTTGTGCAAGAGGCGAGGATAAAAAAAAAGACCAGTGGTGGTCAACATTTCCAGGATGAGCTCTTCAATCTGCTAAATTAATTACTAGGCTTTCTCATCGATCTCTCTAAAGGGAAAAAAGAACCCCCCCTCAAAAAGAGCGAGTCCCTTATGGATTTATTCCAGAAGAGCGAAAGACACTCTACAACGAGTGACAATCACTAGAAAAGAGTGAAAATTATTCCAAAAGAGGAGTAATATAAAGGACAACTCTTTTCGAGTTGTCCTTTATTATTGTTCCTTTGCAGAGTGGAAATTTCACTCTTCTGGAGTGGTTTTCACTCTTTTGCATTCGGAGTGTTTGTCACTTTTTACATTTATTTTATTCAGTTGTACTTGTTTCTCCAAGATTCTCCTATCCAGAGAGCAGTTCCCCACCGCACATGTCGCTACCACCACCAATCGGCGAGACTACCGCGGCTGCAGCGCGTCCGACGCGGTATACCGCGAGAGGCTGCGGGACTTGACCTCCATCAAGACGCTGCACATGCAAAACTCGGTCGTGTTCGGCCCGGGAGGGGGCGCACACGCCCAATTCCTGTCCAGCGCGCAGGAGCATTACCGCAACCCAGCCGACACGGCACGGGAAATTATGAGATCGGGACAACAGTTGTAGATGACGTCATAACCTTTATGCGGACTGGATAGGAGCTTCCCCTTTTAAATCGATGCTTCAATCAAAATGATTTACACTGGAACAGCCAAACTCCGCACGGAAGACAATTAACAGTGAAAAACAGTATCAGCAAAACCTTCAGTGGAGATTTATGAAAACAAACGTAGAGTTGTACCAGATGTGCTTTCCGCGAGGGGAACAAAAGATCCGGAAGTGAACATTTAAGACCGTCAAAACACATACTCATTCCCTTACTAAAGTTGACTACTCTTACCTTTAGGATGACAAACGACGCGACTGCGCTACACCACAGACTGATCAAATCCAGCTGCCATGGAGCAAATACCTATTACCCTTATTTCTAAATAGAACCCCTATTTTATACAAGACACTGCAAACAGAAAGAGCGTTGATTAAAATCACACGCTGTGATGAAATTCTCCCATCACAGCTTTCACGTAAGGTAAACGGTTGCTCTGCATCGCCAAACCGAATGCTAGGTAGGCTGTTTGAACAAAGAGCTCATGGTGAATTAGTAAAGTGTTATTCTCAAGGAAAATTAGAGGATATATGGATGAACGCATCTGAGTAAATATGAATATACATGTAATCTTCTTTTAACTTAACCAATTTTGGTGTCTGATTTCTATTTCTGGCAGCAACAGTTCACAACAGGGCATTGCAATTCTCACTGTATAGAGCAGGTCTTTATTCCCGGATGACAGGAGCGATATCAGCATTGAGCAGGAGCGCCCCTCACCGGGTGGGAAGAGCCACACTGGCTGGGATCATGTGTTCGATTGAGTGTCATAGTTGTTCGTACATAACGGACGCAAGACCTGTATTTCATAAGCAAAAATTTTATGATGACATCCGTGTTCATAAGCATGGTCGTGAACTAGCGGTGTTCATAAGCATGGTCGTGAACTAGCGAAGTGCAGTTCCCATCATCACGAGAGTACGGTTGCTACAGAAATTGCATCTTCTCTTGGTCCCGCCGGAGGGCGGATACCCTTTGATTCGTTGCCTTTGACAAGAAAACTGTTTCAGTGAGGGTGCAATATGCAAGCTCTAAAAAGACCTTTATTTTGTTATGTCACTCGCGAAATTTTCCCCTACCCAGGTTGGCAAAACAATGGTTGGCCGTGAGTACGAAACCGAAAAATACTGTACAAAGTGTTAAAAAACATCTGGCACAAATATCGAAAGGATTAAACATCTCTATTACATACAAATGCTTCTACTAAACACAAAATGAAATTGCTTCCCATTTTAACAGTCACCAAACAAGAAACGGGGTTTGAAGCAGTATTCGAATACTGCCTCAAACCCATCTTCTTGTTTGACGACTGTTATTCTCCGCTTTCCGCCAAAATTGATCCGGTTCGTAAGTGACGTCGTCATAAAGGCGGACTCGCCACCATTTGCAGGCTCCCATTGGACGATCACAGAAGTTGGTTCCACATAAACGGGGATCACGTTATCAATGCATCTAACTCTATGTGCATTGATGTGCAGTGGGCGTGGTTTAAACTGAATCGACGCGTCGTCACACTTACGACGGGCGTTTCACGAAAGTGCGCCTTCAAGATTAAGAGTTTGCAAAGCGTTGATTAATCACAATGCGCGAAACCTATCGGCCCTTTCCAATTACGAAGCGCGCATTTAGTCGATTCAGAACAGTGAAGTGAAAGTGGTAGCAGTGGTGGCCAATCTCAGGACCATCTGAGGTGTGACACGTTGAATGTGGTCTGCATTCTTGCAAGTTTAACAGGACAGTACGATGTTGCGATCACTTGGTCACTCCACGGTGGGAGAGTTATCCCCATCATAACGTTTAGGCTTTTCCCGAGTTATTAACTGTAAGGACACATTTCCGTGCACCCTTGTGGTATGCCGGTCATTGAAGCGAACACAAACCAGGTCCCATCCCGTCGATTCCAACTTTGTCTCTCACTAGTGGGCGTTTTATCTGCGAGAAAACTTCATGCGCACTATAGATGTCTATTTGTCTAATGTAAACGTCTATTTCCGAGTGAGCTGCAGAACGTTTCAGAAAAATGAGCTTTTTTATCAGCAGTGCTCTCTAACTACGCCATTCTAATCTACCCCTAGAAATGTGGGGTCCGACGTCCGCTCCTCTGCGGACGTCGGACCCCACAGTTGTGGCGGTAATTCTGGTCCTGAAAACAGTTGGGAATTGCAAGTGACAAGGGAAACTTTACAAGTGTGCTTGCATTCAAAGTTTAATTCTTTCCCCACAGGCTGTTTTTTTTTTCAAAGTGATTTTTTTCGCTTTGTGTGGCTGATTTCTTTCTTTTTTGTTTTAAAAAATTTGTTTGAACGGTTTTCAATTTATTTCAGGAACATCAGTTAATTTATATGATTTTATTCGTATATTTTCTGTTTTCTTTACTTGCATATGTATATATTTTAATTAATTAGGTAATTTATAGTTGAAGCTTATTTTAAAATCTCAATCTGCTCCACTTCGATGAAAATGTGTTTTTTCCATTGCAAATTAGGATAATCATTTCTTTTTAATAAGTTAAATTAAGCACTAGTTTGATACTCAAAAAGTTTGTAGTCATAAAATGGATTTTCATCGTCACGATTTTGCTTCTGTCTACACACTTAAAAATTGCTCTTAAAGTCTGTTGTAATTATTGTGCCGCCACTCGGTATCCCTTACCTCACTCTGTACCCCTTGGCCCACTCTTTACTCCTTTCCCCACTGTACCGCTTGCCTCACTTGGTATCCTTTGTCCTGAGGTGGGGGATAGGCTAGTGAATCATCAGCCACTTTTTTGTGGTGAGCAAAACTTAAAACTGATTGTGAAGAATTTTTCTGACTTCCAATGATTAAAATGCATTCATTATCACTCAAAAAAAAGGGAAAACAATTTTTAAAAGCCATTAGTATGGCACAAGAAAATGTGAGATCAGGAAAAAAACTTGTAGATGACATCATAACCTGGAGAAGAAATCATTGCCGGAATCAAATTTACAATAAACTCCCAAAAGTTCCAAGTGACACATAACAGAGTGAAAGGCAAGCGTATCTTTGTTGGGTGGGAGATTTATTATCCGCAGAGTTGTACTGGGTTTGCTTTCCCAGTTTTCAGGGAATAAAAACATAAACCTGCTGTCCAAAGTCAAAAACAAACGAAAGAAATATGAAGTACCCACGTTGACTTGACATCTGCCAATTGGTTAACCTTTAAGTTTCCTCTAACGGCAATCGGCAAATTGCAGCAATGAGGCATTTTAGTACATTTAGTCTTTAAAATGCGAAAGATTAAACTTGGTTTTCCTGGGAACCCTTCACAGCATTGTTGACCTCTCCAAATAGTAAAAGCCCCTTTAACAGCCCAACCATGATTACCATGTATTAAAACCATGACTTTTTTATATGATTTCAATAACATTTTTTAGGCAAATTATCTTGTCTCTGGAAGTTTGTTCTGATTTACATATTTACACATATTTACAAACATACAATAAACGAGTAGTTGTAAATGAAACTTTGGCAGTAGGGGTTCATGTGGACCAACATTTCAGCAATTGCATAACAGACAACAGAATAAACAAAGTGTCACACGATGAGAGGTTGTAAGGAACTGTCTCAAAAAGCTTGGGCAGCTGTTCCCTTCAGGAATGCTTGTCGCATTACTGTTGCAAATTGGCAGTTTTTCTGAGCATGTCCCTAGACTGAACTAGGTGTTCTTGAGTTGATGATCAGAACTTGGGACCTACATCCTCAAGTGTAATTCGGTACTCAGAATTAGAAGCCATTACTGAGGTGGCACAATGCTCGCGAACAAGCGGTACACACACATAATAGTTGCCAGTTTGAACAACAGGGTGCCTGACAAGCCACATAGACATCCAAGGGCGGATCTATGGGGTGGGGCTTACAGGGACCATGCCCCTCCCCCCAAAAAAAAATAAAGGGGGGGGCAAGTAAATTTATTTTTGAAAAAGAATTCAGAGTTCCAAGATCAAGCCGACTTCGTTAGCGGGGTATAGAAAATAGCAAAAACAAGGTAAATGTTTTGGTCTGTTTCACTTTCCATATTTTAAAAAGTGCAAAAAGCCCTAAAATGTAGCTTCACTCCTCAGAAAGACCATAAAAGGTCACATGGGTTTAAAAAAAAAAATTGGCCCCCCATACAAAGTACTGTAGTTCAAACCCCCCCCCCAACAAATGTGGGTCTGGACCTGTCCTTGGGCATGTCAAGTTCAAGAACACACCTGTGAGTGCCCTGCCACTACAGCTTTGTTATTCCCTTCGATATACTCCCATCACTGGAACACATGTACCAAGCACAGAACTGAATTTTGGGCGAGAACAGAGTCGACTTCTACTAAGTGAAAACAAAATATTGTTTGACAAATTTCTGTGCTGTGTGGACATCACTGGGAACCAGTCACACCTACAATATGCATCCCGTCTGTGGCATTTTTGGTGGTTTCGCTAAGCAGGTGTGTGACTGGATCCCATAAAATACATCTTAAGATCATATTTTTGATCTTGCATGTAGTTTACTTTACACAAGAAAGAGCAAAATTGAGTTCTTGTCTTGCTGTATCACCCATTTTGGCAACCTGGTGAAAATGGACGACACACAGGTGAAAAATCTACAGCATTCCCATTGATTCACAGAGTGCAAGATTCTCGTCAAGGCCTTAAACAAAAAAGTTGTTCTAATTGCTTGCGACTCATTGTGTTGATTTGGGTTACATATTTGTCTGGACTTAGAAACTTTCTGGGATCAGTTGCCGAGTTAGAAAACGCTGAATACTGGAATGAAAGGAAAGGAAAAGAAACACCAGTTGTCCTTTTAAACTTCAAATGTATAGTACAAAATTCCAGAAGGCATAATTTTGAAAAATAGATAATTCTTATACCTCGACACTTTTCTCATCTGCTGAAGATGCAACTGAATCCTGAGTTGTACATACAACGACAGCATGGCTTTCCAACTCACTTGCTTGGATCCACGAGTAGTCAATTTACCCTGTACATTGATGTGCTTCAAAAGTTCTTGAATTAGTGTGCAGCGGAAACTTAGCAGTTTGATTTGAACTTCACTTGGAAAGACTTGCCTTGTCTTCCACCAAGTTGAAAAGTTGCCACCAAGCTTCAACATGTGGCCATGAAGTTCTACATTTTAAATGCTGCATTTGGGTAATTCCAGAAATTAGGGGTCCAAAAGTGTGACATTTTTGTGTCCCTGTTACATCTGACCTTTTTTATGTGACATGGAAATATCACTGGAATTGATTTCAAACTGTTGCTATTTGTTTGGCAGGTAATCTGCATTCATTCATCACTCTTGGAAATTAGAAAATGTGTTCTGAACTTACAAAATCATATGTCAAATGTGACAGGGCCACAAAAAATAATGGACCCCTAATTTCTGGAATTACCCAAGCAACTCTGCAGAACGTAAAAAATGGCATAATTGACATGCTGCTGTTACGTAAAGAAAAAAGAGACTGGTAAAAAATCCCGAGTGTGCCATGGTAGGATTTAAATCCAAGACCTTGGACTTGCCATTACACGTCACATCACAGACAAATTTGTGAAATTTTACTCGTCACATCAAAGAATAAATTGTGAAATTTTACTCATTTGTCAGGCAGCACCAAGTCAAACAAAGGAGCCAGGTTTTTCAAACCATCACAAAGCTGGTCAGGGGAGGGGGGGGGAATTCCTCCCCTCTAAGAACTCGGCTGTCCCTAGACTTGAATCAAGTCTGAGCTTACGTTGCTCTTCCCCGTCAGCCATCCCTTCACATACACAGTACTGTGCATCGTCATCGTGCTCGGCCGCTCGCATAACTTCTTATAAGGCGCCCTCATTTGATAGCTTTTCTGCGATATCCGGCGTCAACGTTAAAGATTGTACACGTATCACCAGTCAGTAAGTCTGACTAGACGGATAAGCCAATCGGACCCCCATTGGTGATATGTAGTTATTCATAATTGTATATGAACGACATGATGTTGCACAATGTATAAGAAATTTCCACCAATCCAAGGAGTCAGACTTGGCATTTCCACCAATCAAAGTAGTCAGACTAGTAGACTCGTTCATTCGTTAAGTCAGGATTTATGAACTCACAGTAATACGTGGACACAAAAGGGCGCAACGCAAGTAACAATGCACTGCCTCCATATCAAAAGCTTAAGCGCAGATGTCAGGGATGATCCCAACTTGAGTCAGGTCTAGGTTGTTCTACGGTATGTCTAATCTTTTAAAACCGCGCATGCATGTAAAGACACTCGATACAAAAGCGAGGTTTCGTCCCATTCTGAAGTAAGGTTTGATTGAAGTTAAAGGGCACAGGTGCGTCGGCCTGTATTCACTGACCATGTCGGGAAAGCGTACACGTATACACTTTTGGCTGACCTGTATCAGAAAAATGGGTGCTGCGCGAGATTGGTATATCCAATTTTCACAACACTGGTGTCAAACTAACCACAAGACATTACTGAAGAAACTCCTAAAGGAGCACTGCGACGACATCGGCCAAAAATGGCGAGGGGGCAGATTCCAGCCCCACACTCCAAGCTCTTGTAAGGTTTAATTATACCAGGTAAGGACAAAATACAATAGTAACATTTACATTTACATCTACAAAAGAAAAACTGAAACCAACACTAGACACGAAGTTATACCAAAACCATACTTGGGCTAAACTATTCCACTTACATCAGTATAACCCAAACTAAGTTACAAAATTCAAAATACTAATATAATAGATTTTTGAATTTGCTTCAAACCATTTCATCTTTCTGGAACATTTCTATCTTCTCCTCCATCATCTCCAGCGTCTTGGCATCCTTGACGACCACTACATCCTCCCTCCACCTGACGTCGCCGTCCTCCACGTCTTTGATGGACTCGGGGAGGGGCTTATCCAGCGTCTCGGGCAGCCAGAGGTCCAGCACGCCGCTGATGAAAGCCGTGGCTCCAAAGACCAAGAAGGCCATGAAATCCCCCTGAATAAAAGAGGCAGAGTGACTAAGACTGTGTCCAATACAGGAACCATCCCAAAACTCATCTGAAGTTGCAGACAAGTTGTAGGTTGGAACCGCTCACTTCATATGAACAAGGAGCCCAGAACAGGTGCCCCCAGCTGCTTGCCATGCGCACATGGCAAACAAGTTAGCATAACTCCGTATGTCTTCAGATGGACCAACTCAAGACAGCACTCAAGCGGTCCAGACTGCTGTGCAGTATTGTCACTAAGGGCTGAGACTTTGCAGCTCTGTGCTCTTTTCTGACGTTCCCCGTGAGGATTTGTTTTTCTGTTTCATATACCCCCCAAAAAAAATTTGCAAACTGAAGGTACATGTAACAATTTTGTTTGATATAAAGGTAGGAGAGATTAACTCTGACATTTAGAACAATGTGCTGCTTGCTTCTTATGTACCAAAAGAACCATGTTTCGGGCACATGGCCCACCAGGTCATGCAGGTCGCACGCAATGCCATTTGTTATTCAGTGATCTCTTTTCCGGGTACCGGATGTTAACAAAAAACGGGTAGCCGGTTCTAAAAATACCCGGAAATGCACATCCCTAGCTGAGAGAATCCATGTGAGACACTTCCGGCATTCTCAGAGCTTTACACAAGGGGGACTGTTGCTTAGTAATAAAATCTCTTCTTCACTCAAACAGACCCTCATCAAGGGTGAGATTGAAGGACAAAGAAAATTTCACCAAACGCAGAGCAGAAGGGTTGTGGTGAAGACAGAAATTACTCTGACTTTTCTGGGGCTTTCAACAGCTAACAAAACATGACATTCCTCGTACGAATGGCTGTAAGTGTGGGTTTTAAGCTTGATTTTTTTGTATCAAGTGCAAGAAAGGTGAAAAAAAATAATAATAAATGCTTAAACTCTTAAATTCTCGATTTCTCAGTTAAAACTTGCAAAATCAGAAAAGGTCTTGGGAAATCGCAGACACACCCTGTGTGTGTGTGACATTAACCACTTGCTGCAGGGAGGATTTTTCTTGAGCAAGACAAGATGCCGGGTCCTTTTCAAGATTTTCTGTTTTCAAAATTCTTCATTTTATTTAATGGCAGTTTATACCCACATGAAGGACTCTTTGGGACTACTCTAAAGCTGACAGGTATCCTTCATTGATTCCTGAATATTTCAGCCAGGCCTGCAGCCTTGGAAAAAGAGCCCAAATTGTGCAGTGTTATCCAAGATTCTTTTGTTCCTGAAAGCCGCACAGTGCACTACTGACCTCTTTTCAATAGGGGCTAGATTAGTATGCAGCGGTGCTGTGTGGAGAGCTTTTATCCCCGGTGGTAATCCGCTCTCTCTAAATGCCTCAAACAGTGGTATACGGTTTCAAAACAAGGCTGGATTATCTCCACTATTGAGAGCGAAAAAATGTTGGCAATGCCCAGCAGCTCAGTCTTTTGTGCTGAGCACAGTCTTTTGTTATAAGGCCCAACTCTTTTGTCCCCGTTCCGGGCTCCCGGCTCTGCATATAAAGTCTATGTACCCGAAAACGGGTCGAAGTGGTTAAGAAGCTAATTTGGTATCCTTTGTTGGGCTAGAATCTCTTTCCAGTGCTTGCTGAACCTACGGATACATGTCAGCCAATTTTTTGTGACCAGGTAACAAGGTTTTTTCTCCTTACCATTAAGATGACCGACGGTGCGACTACACCCCCTAATCGAGCTGCCATGGAGCACACACCCATGCCGCTGTTTCTGAACAGAAACACAAAGATTCTGTTGACTGCATGCATGGTTGAAATTTTGCTGAACAAATGCCCAATGCAAGATTTTTTTCCTTTTTTCTTTTTTTTTGGGGGGGTTGCCTTCCAAAGCCACTTTTGTCCCTCACTCCAATCTCAGATGGAGAGTGTCAGTGAGGTCCACATTTTTAAAGGAATCAAATCGATCAATATCCCTGACTACCCCAAATGGATCTTGCTGATGAAATATGCAAATAAGGCAGGTGCATGCGCATTACTGCCACTGGTTGGCAAAATTGCTTAAATCTATGACGTAACAATACAAGTCTCCATGCGAGGGCAACTATGAGCACATACATGTACACATTGTTTCTGTACTAGCAGTTCAATATGAGTGCCACACTTAAAGGCAAGGAATTATTACCCTCCAACCTACGGACACTGAAAACTTCACATAGTTTGAAAAAAATGTATGCTGAAGTATACCAGACCTATCCCCACAGAATTAAACACTTTACTACTGTTTAATTCTGTGTGGTTGGTGAAGGTTAGGGTTAAGGTTTGGTGAAATTGGTTTCTGGTCTTTGTCATTAGCAAATACATGGCCGCACACTGACAACAGACCTAGCCACAGCCAAAGCTCTTAGCTTTAAGAGTCTGGGTCCCTGCCTTACAGTCTGTTTCAGACATCCTATCTCCCTTATTACCTGACAACTGTTGGCAGCAGTTCTGAGGCATAGATGTAAACAATGTTGAATGCAGCCGCCACACCCATCTTGCCTACAAAGTTGAGGCTCGTGCGTAGGTTCATCAGTTCAGGATCTGGTACCAAGCCAAAGCAGGAGGTTTTGAATTACAACCCAAATGCAGTAGCACAAAGCACAATAAGTATATAATCAAAAACAAAACCAACTCATGATACAAAGTCTGCCCGAGAAAAAGTTCATTCAACACAAGGGATGCAATGAAGTCTTTTCATTAACACAATGAGCCTCGCGCTGGGCCAAGAGGCTGCAATTTTGGAAGCTTCATTGGTCAGAACTGAGCTTCGCCGGTTCACAAACAACTATGAAATGCACGCGTTACGGTCGCATCACTACCGACAAAATGAACACTCTCGACCAATATGGCTGTTCTCAATCAATGCGGGGGTGCTTCTGCTTGAGGTGGATACAACCACCCCAATTATTTTGTCAGGAGCAATAGAGAAATGATTGTTCATGAAACGGAACAGGATTTCTTCATGAGGCACTCATTAAAGTGATTTGGAAGATTCGGTAAAGGCAAAATGTAAAACAAATTCACAACTCACGTGATGGCACAGTCACAAGAGCTAGGCAGGTGATGCCAGCCGTAAAAATCGACATAAGTAAAAGCTTCCGTCTCCCAAACCTGATAAAGTTACAAAGGAGAGGAATGAATTGTTATTGTCAGGTGTTACGTGCATATCTTTGTGGATTTTCTGATGCCTGATGCAAGAACTTCGTCAATGGGTTTCATCAAGCATGAAAGGTACAGTCCATCATTTGTTATTTGTGCGTTATGTTCCTTTGAGGCCAAAGGTTTCAGCTCAGTAAATGTTACACATTCCGAGAAAAAAAAAATACTCTAGGATTTTGATTTCAGATCAAAAGCAGTAGTCAACCCTCTAAGGAACATATTCAAGAAATAACAGAGGATTTTGGAGAATTGAGGTCGTGTTAAATTTTTCAATGGAGGCAGCTTCAGAGCTGGATTCAAACATTTTGTGAAGTGGACATTGGAAAGAGCCAGCAAATTTACAACCAAAAATTTCTCTTTTCAAGAAGACATACCTTTTATATGTGTTAAATCAAATTAATCAGTTAAATCACTAAAATCAAGCAGAATCTGTGGGAGAGACGTTACAAAACAAATACTGACTGCTGCTTCTTGTGGTGTAGTAGCACACGTGTCTATAGAAAGGGGGTAGGGTCCCAGACCACTGCTTCCCATATGCTCGTGTGATATTTGCAGCCTGAGCCATAATATCTGGAAGCAGCCGCCTCCTGAGCTAAACATGGAGTAATATCAACTCACCTGTTTAGAAGAAAAAAGCAGACGGTGTAGGCAGGCAATTCAGCCAGGCCAGACAAGGCAAAGCTGGTGTACATGTTGCCTCCTTGGTTGCTGGCGTTCATGGTCAGGCCGTAGTACACCATGCTGCATGTAAACCTGTGTGCAAAAAACAGCGCATGGTTCTTCATGGTCAGTTCTTGCTCACATTTTATCAATCAATTGACCCCTTACCCTCTGGGCAGGTGGCCGAGTGGTTAGGGTCTGTGGCTTCCAATCGTAGGGTTGGTGGTTCGAATCCAGCTGCTGGCAGTATGTTGTGGCCCTTGGCAAGCCACTTCACCCCTGCTTGCTTCTCTGCACCAAGGATTATAAAGGGGCACCAGCATTAGCTGGGGAGGCAACCTGCGATGGACTGGCATCCCATCCAGGGGGAATAGAAATATTCTCAGTCGTTCCATGCCAAGGAAACCGGAGATAAACAACGTCCTGATGAACCAAACTGGCTTGGACCAGAATTGCTCTGGGTCAAATGTATATAAATTACTCATAAATACCTAAGGCCAAAAAAAGTCTTTCGTCTCCGGTCAGCGCGCACGTCAATTTTCAAGCATGCTCGTCATTCTTTTTTTTTTCTCTGCAAGAGCTGCAACAGCGCCCTCTATTGCTGCACTGCCTCAACATTTTTGCGGGCAGCTCGATCTTTTACTCAGGGCGATAGATCCTGATGAGATTGATGTTGAACAATGACAGCAGACTATGGATACAAAGTTGTTTATTGTCAGCTTATAATCATAATAAAGCTGGTCTAGTCCCATGACTTGACAACCTGTGTCTGCAATTATCTGTACGATCCAACCCTGGAGGAGTACACATTTTTTTAAAAACCGCATCGCTGCATCAATTCTGGAACATCAGTCTGACCAGAGACAACTATTTTGGGGGGCTTACATGTAGGACGGTTTAGCCATTCCTAGTGGTCGAGGGCCTGTCATGTGTTAAGTTGCAAAACAGTTTAATAATAATAAGCTTGGGCTGGCTCTATGCTACCTCATGCAACACGTACCACATGCATGTTTGTTTCCATATAAGGAGACTGTTTATGACTTCTCATGAGAGGAACATACCAAAACCTAATTGCGGGGTTTAAAAAACAAATGAAATAAAATTTTGAACAAAACCACCAGAAATTTTTTATTTTTAAAATTTGTTCAGACTTTGACTCAATGGGTATTTATGAATGGGAATAAATATGTGCTTGGCTGGTCTTACATGTGGAAGACCAGCTCAGGCGGATGGATACTGATGAGGGACATTTTCCTAAGCTGGCCTCAAACACTCACCAAGCATTATATTCATTTCCTTAGTAATATCAAAATATGTTTCTGTAGAGTTGTGATCGAGTCCACCACAAGTGCTTTCACAAGTTTAGTCACATGACCAGTCACAAGTAATGGCCGAGCAATGTCACAGCATGCTTTCTGTCACATTTGAATACTGTGACTTAAGAATGATTGGATTACGAGCGATTGGATTACGAGCGATTACGATCTAAACCATGATACTGTCTTGCTGGATTTGGCAGTGGTTAGAACAGCACAGGTCTCCATGGTTGAGTCTCAAATTAGGTTTATTCCTCGGAAATGTATTTAAGTCCCCAGTCACATCGATAAAATCTCACATCAAACATTGGTAGGAGTATCAAGTTCTTTCTTGTCTGATTCTTTACAGAACAGATTCTGGGCCTTTTATCTTGGTCAAGCTCAAATCCTCAAAATGCCTGCCAGAGTGAGCAAGAATGAACATGACACTGTCTCTCTCAACTTTCTTTTTCATCTCAAGATCGAATGTCACTTTGGAATTGGGATGCCTCCATCCAAAAGTCAAGGATCAATGTCAGGTTTTTGGGTCAAATTCAAAGTTATTTAATATTTATAAATAGTATCAAAGCACTTATAGGGCGCACAGCAATTCAAAGGTGCTGATATATTATCATTATCCCTGTACTTTGAACTCGCAACATCTGAATATTTCAGACTGGTCCCGGATCTGAGATTTGCATTCGATCTTACCAGTTAAAGATCATGATGACCATTCTGGATCTGATGACAGGAGTCCGGAAACAGTCTGTGAGGCCATACTGCTTGGCATTCGTTGGGTTGCTGGAGGTCTTCAGCTTCACCTGAAAAAGGGAAATGACAAGGGGGCACTTGATTGCTAGTGGGCATGGCTGGTTTTCTGGGGGGAATCACGGCGGAGCTTGTTTAGTCAACTCATTCCAAGTCCCAAGTCTCCCACAAGACAGAATAATGCAATCATATTATCACACAATAATCACTACACATACAAGTACGCCTTTCATGTTATGCTCACCAAGAGAATTTGATTCAGAATTTCGCAAATTAGAGAACAAATTGTTTTTCTTTTTCTAACAATCTCAAACAGTTTTCATTCAAGAAAAAAACCTAAAAATATGTTTCCTAGTTACTGATGTTCACATAACGATTCCCAAAAAACTGTCATGTGGAAGGTTCAAATTCTCAGGCAGCCCTGCAAACAGTCACAAAACTGCCACACAGTCTCCAGGCCAGTTCTTACCATAAAAGAGAAAAATGAATGTAAAATTGTCAAGTCAGATCAAATGTTTGTGCTGTGAACTCGGAATAATGAACACAATTAAACTCAAGCCAATTTCTCTGCACACATTTTATGATGTCAAATTCACTTGTTTCTCGGGTTTCTTTAACCTTTACGATGTTGTCTTCACAAGTCTATTACAATAATTCTGCACCATCCAGTCTTAAGCCACAAGCTACCCGTATCCAAAATGGACACCCACAAAGGAATTCCATTCTCATTGTTCAACCGGTAACATAATTGCTTCCTTATTGGTGGATACAAGTATATGTACTTGTCATATCTTCAAATGTGCTTTTAATATCCAATTTTATAAATAATAGAATTTTTCCCCTTTGTATTTTACTGATATTCACTAACGGATAATCAAGTTTGAAAAATAATTTTCAATAAACAAATATCTATCCAAATACTGGAATAATCGGCACAGCCCTAACGCTGCAATCTTACCATTGCTTTGGTAATGTTTTTACCATTGGTGTGACCGATATAGTACAGAATATCTTCCGCCTCGGACACCCGGCCCTGTGAAGCCAGCCACCTGGCAGATTCAGGGACAAACCTGAGATGAAATAAAGGAGGTGCATCGAAGATTGTGATACGTGGAATAAAGCACCTTTGGTTGGGGTCTAATTTCTATGAGCACCTAAGCAGAAAGCCCTGCCTGGCAAATTGACGTGCTTAGCAAAAAATCAGCTGTGAACCAGTTACAAGAAAGATTACCGGCATGTCATTTTGTGGTTCTTTTTTAGGAGAGGGAACCAGAGCAACCATACTGCATGTCGCATTCGAGGTTTCGCAATGACTCAAAGAAAACTTTATTTCACTTCACCACTCAACTTCCAGTGACATCCACCCGATAAGTGAAATATGAAAGGACGAGAAAATGCATTGGACAAAAAGTTGGTGTTAAATTCATTTTTAATTTGATTTCTCGCATGGAATTTGGAAGTGTAGGCCAAAAATCATTAGGCAGACATATTCAGAAGATGGGTCATTTCAAGTTTAAATGGGCCAGCTTATGCATTGCAAACTGAAAATCACTACACCAAATGACCGCTCTGCTAAAAAATTTGTTTGGACTCTCCAGTCCTTGTTATACCAGTGTTGTACGATACGTCTTGAAATTAGCAAAGTTGTTCACTTAGCAATTCCAAGGAATTAACTATAGGCAAGACAAAGCGAAGTGTTTTTATTGCCCACAGAGATTGGTGCTACAACTTATTAGGTGTTGAAACTAAAGAGGGCCATTTGCAATACCAACCAGTTGATGGACAGATAGCCAATCAGGGGTAAGGTTGTTGTGAATAGTAACACTCGCCAACTCCTGATGTAGTAGGCCAAGACGGCAAACAGCTGAAGAATATAACAAACGTGGGACATGTCAGACAGAAACAACTGAAGACACAAACAAGTGAATACGAGAGCAAAATAAACAAGCATTAATTCAAAATCTGCTCATTTGCCATCGCCAAGAATGGACACAGGTTGCCGAAAATAGTTAGCGTTTGAATCAGGACGGAATGGCAGCTCACATCAAGCCTGACCGTTCTTCGTTTCAAACCTCTACTGCAACAGTACTATACAAATGATGAATGTTTTACCACCGTGCAAAGCTGCGAGTGACTCAACAAAGCGACAGACGATTTGTTCCAATCCTATCATCAAATGATATCATTCTTGCAGCTACACAAATTGAATGTGAAACCAACGATCATTTTGTTTTACACATCTGAAGGTACATGTATCCCCACCTGGGTAAATGCCAGCACAACCTCGATACATGTACATGTGCACTTGTATATGAATATGGGAATTCCTTGCAACAGCAGATTAGAACATTTTTATGACACCTCACCCGCAGACTCTGTATCTTGATTGGCTGAGAGCCAGTCACGTGGTATGCGCTTATTTTCGGTGCCTTGCTTTTCACAGCTTCGGGAACTATACCCCAAACAACTAAAGAAATTCATACATGACCATTGGCATTGCATGCAAATTTATGCAATGCCGTTACACAAATTCCAGAGTGCCTGCAGTACGGAGCTGGAATCAGGGGTAGTTTGGACAAGTGCTGGTAAATTTTCAGCTCATGTATTATTCAAACAGTCGTACCTTGTACACTGTAATCCCATCCAATTAATCAGCTACATTGCTTAAATCAATTGAAGCAGAATCTGTGGGCGAGGTGTTTAAAACAAATACTGACTGCTTTTCCTTGAGGTGTAGTGGGGTACCAGACTTTTACACCTGTTGCACTTTGCTGTGTCTGACAGGGCCAGGGATGAAATATGATGAAACAAACAGTCAGCTCTGCACACAAGAGGCTGAGCACTACTACCTACCATAATGCCTATGCAGAAGACTGCTTGGAGGAAGGTCCCTGCTGGTCCCCTGTAGGAACTGCCCAGGTTCTCTGTGGCCAACACAAAGGAACAGAGAATCACGCCACCGGTAGCCGTGCCCAACAAGAACCTGGAATGGATCCAAACAGTCCATCAGAAATTCGGTATTTCACTGTGTAACAGGGAGGAGTCTGGGTTTTCCCCTGGGATGCTGGAGAACAAGACAGGGTTCCCACAGAAAGCTGAAAACCAAATTCCAGGTCTTTTCCAGGATTAAAGCTATGACAATTTCCATGGCTCTTGATGCCATTTTGAAGAGGAAAATTGTTTGTACATGTACTTATGCAGGGTAATGTACCAAACCTGACAAACTGCAACGAAGTGACTCATTGGAGTTTAAGTGATATGGTATGGTATAATTATGCAGCACAGCATGACTTGCACTACAGCAGTACCAAACCTGACAAAACTGAGCGTAGTTCAACACTTGGTTAATCAGGTGTGGTACCAAACCTGCCCAAACCTAGCAAAACCTGCTGTTGGAGTTTGATGGATCAAGGGCAGTTAGGGTTATTGAACTGGAAGATAGCCATAACAACCACTACAGATGGACAAGGTACATGTACGGAATACGGGTACATGTAGCCTGTGTATCAATATTCTGTTATCACATCAAGAGCCGCCCATCAAAAATAACCCTCCCACGATCTTGATTTCCACAACTTTTCCATGACTTTTTTTCCCCTCTGACAAAAAGAACTCCAGGACATCCCATTTCCCCCCCCCATTTTCCATAACTTTTCCAGGACACCTTTTCCAAGCAATTTCCATGACCGCAGGAACACTGCATGAGGTGGTCCAAATATGTGAACAAAAACTGCCTGCAGAGCATGCACATGTCGGCAATCATGCTGACAGGCCTGAAATAGCCCTGTGGACTTCCCATTAGCCTTTTCTGATGCGTGGTGGATGCAACAGGGAGGCTCACTATTTGAAGCAGGTAAATTTGGAGTAAACACAAAAGATTTTGCCTAAACCAAAAAGCGCCATCCATGATCCTATCCACCCCGAACAGAAGTACCCCCTCAGTCGAAAATAGCCATGTTGGTCAGGAGTGTTCATTTTGTTGCTAGCGATGTGATTGCAATACTTGTAATTCACAGTCGTTTGTGATTCAGCGAGGAGAAATTACTACCAAAGGAGCCTCCGTTGCCAGTAAAACTGCACCCTCTCTTGGTCCATCTTGGAGCCCATTGTGTCCGCCACACCTCACATACATGTAGGCTATTACATGGACTTCATTCAATCTCCGTTCCTCTTCTCTAAANGCTGACTTTTGCATTGGGTTTGGCATACCTCAGAAAAACAAAGTCCAACAGCCTCTGTGCACAAAGTCCCATATGGGTGTTTAACTTTGTGTGAATGGGGACGGTTAGCGGCAGCAACCCTTGGAGGGTTAGGGTTAAATACGTCTGGTATTCTATGGTCTTTGCCGGTGAGACCGATCTGAATGAGGACTATTCAAAACATTTTTTTGAATTTTCTTTTTCTCTTTTTTTTAAGTACATGTACGTAGTGGTTATATTGGCCACAAGATGCTGAGGCGGTCACTATAGTTAGTGAGGTGGGATGCCTCGTTTTTGAATAGGCAGGTCAGAGCGACTGGGGGAGGGGGAAATTTTACTGCACCCATCACAGCCCACGCTAGCTCCCAAAGTTTCTGCCAGTTCCCAAGTATCGACTAACCTTGTTACTGCAAACTGGACGTAGGACCTGGTCAGTGCACTCAGCATGCCAAACATGGACATCAGAATCAGTCCCAAGAGGCAGATTTTCCGGCGTCCGTACTTGTCGGCCATGGTGCCAAACACCATGGTGCCAGCCAGCACACCAAACATGAAGAGAGACTGGACCAGGCTGACTTTGTAAGAGTTGTCGCACACCAGATCCCACTGTCAACGTGAGAAGAAAAAAAATACCAGAAACAGTCACCTGACAGCAGCATATATATACATGTAAGCTCATACCATCACCACTGTCTACTCAAGACACTAGACTGCGTCAATTCTACTGCTCAGGGTCTGTCAGCAAAGTTAAACTGGTGACATCCCCCCCACAAAAATGCATTCAGCCACGCCCATGCCGTGGTCACCATGCCACCTTATGTCTTACAATACATGTATATCAGTATAGGTAGTCAACAATATTAATTTGCGTCAGGGATGTTAATTTTTTCAAGGGTAGAGCCTTGCACAAGTCTTCCATGATGTTGGTCACATTCACCACAGCTGCAGTTGTGACAAGTGGCTGAAGGTTTAGAAACTGAACATGGCTCAACATATAGACCTGCACGCACACCCTAATGACCCATTCACAGAAATCCAATGTTCTACATCAGAGATTTCAGAATTGCGGTGTAAAACCAGATTTGATTCCAGGCAGAGAAGGATACTGATTAAATTAGTTTTATTTGAAGAGTGCTCAGTCTTCTTAACTTCAACCAAATTTTAACTACACTTGAATATAAATCATACTTGATATTTTTAATTACATTTTATTTAATTTATTTTTTAATGAGTTTTCTTCATTTTAACCTTCGTCTTCTTTTTCAAACCAAGCTGGGCCACCATTAAACAACAGAAAAATTTGTTTTCACCTTAATCTGATATTCTCAACAGTTTTTACTCTGTTATCGTTCAAGCACAACATTATACATCAACCCTCACGGGGCACTGCAACAAGCCCCATGCAGAGCAGATCCAGAGCCAATTTTTACCTCTTTTTTTTGGGGGGGGGGTTAAGGGTGGGGTGGAGTTGTGTTTATTGGGAGACCAATCTTGTAGACATTTTTCTGGGTAACCTTTAATGGCCTTTCTTTCAATGATTTTCTCCCCTTTGGGGAAGAGGCACAGGTCCCATTGTCACCTCTGGATCCACCTTCGATCCCCATGTAAAGTAACAGTGGCTGAGCACTCCCTTCCTCAATCCTGTAAAATCCTACAAAACCACTTACATGTAGCAGATTTTGAATGATCAGGAAGTGCGAGGATCAACTAAATCACGGCTTTTGGCCACTCCTGGGACTCACCTCCGAGACAATGGATGTGAACTCCTTGGAGTAGGTGTAATGTGAGCATGGTCTAGCCTTGGGACTGCAGGGGTGCACCTTGGAGATGGGATTGTCGGCGCAGAAGATGTGCTGTGGCTCCTTCCCGACGAATGCCAGGGCCAACATGTGCATGGCCATGAAACCGTTCAGCGAGGCCAGGAGCAGGAAGTTGGACTTCTGTACCCGGCCAAACTCCCCGACCGTCTTGAGGACCTTGTCGAATTCCATTGCAGATTCCAACTCTCAAGCAGCCAGTTGTGTCTTCAAGCTCTAGCTGAATGAAACAACATAATGTCATCAACTGAGGGTTTGCACACTGCCACCTTGCAGGCCAGTGGTTTTGTTCCACAGGGTATGCACAGTGGAGGTTTCCCTGTGCAGCAACAGAACTGCCCCGCAAGATGGCTACTGCGCAAAACCCCTATTAGGAACAGGTACATGTACTGCATACTAATCGAAGCCACCATGACGAACTGGCTCAAAGACAGGCAGGGACTTCTGTTCAATTTACTCACACTTCCATTGTCTTGAAATTATATGCTTCTTGAATCTGGAGTCCTTGATGATGTATCACCCCGACTATCATACATGTATATCATCTGTCCTACATGTACATGATGTATATGGTGCTGCAGCTGGAATCACCCAACTATGGATAGGATGCCAGAATGTGCTGGCAATCTACCCTAGTTTTGATCTGTGTCACAGATGAAATGACAGGTTGGCATACACAGATATTTGCAGTCTTGTATTAGAGTCCATCACAAGTCCTTTCACATGTCCCCTCACAAGACCAGTCGCAAGTCCCCTCACAAGACCAGTCACAAGTCCCTTCAGAAGGCCCATCCCAAGTCCCCTCACAAGACACAGCAGTGAAATACTGCACAGGTGATTTTGTTGCACCCCAACTATAGCATAAGTCCTAACTATAGTTGGGACAGTCCCAACTATAGTTGGGACAGTCCCAACTGTAGTACTGCAGTTGGGCTGGCCCAACTATTGTTGACCAATGTCTGTGGGAAATGTCTCAACATTATCCAAGTCAATGTGTCTCACACTTGACACAATTCATCTAAAATGTGGCACTTCATCTCTTCATCTAGCCCTATGACCAATGACACGACATTTGTAAATGATATGACTTTGGCACATGCTGGACACATGCAAACAGGACCTCTCTGCTGTAGTTGGGCCGGCCCAACTGTAGCACTCTAGTTGGGACGGGCCCAACTCTAGTTGGGACTGATGTTATAGTTGGGGCGTAACAATTTTACACACAAATGTACATAATGGAAGCATGCATTGTGAGAAGGCAAAATGTTCAATGTTTGGTCCTTTTCTTCCCACAATGTCTTTCTATGTGCCAAATCACCCATGCAGTATTTTGACAAGGCTTACGTGTATGTTGCAATTGGTCAAGCTGTCATGTTGATAACGATTGAGAGAGCAGGCCTACATGCTGCTGATTTTCGGTGGCGTGGATGGGCAAAATATATACATGTACATACATCATGGACATGTACTTCTGACTTTACGCTAGGGCCTACATACAGGCCTTGTTCATGGTGATGGCAGAGCAATTGGCACAATTGCAAAATAGCCAAAACCATGAAAACAGTGTGTTTATAGGAATTCATACTGGTACAAAACATTACTACTATGAAGGTGTGTATAAACCTTACAGTTCTGGAAGTAGGCCAAGTGGCCCCTACTGCCTACCAGTGCCACTGAGCTGAGTAGTACCACCATGGAGGTAGGATCACATTTAGGTACCGCTACTCGGCGCTAGTCGGCTAGTTAGTAGTTAGGCCTAGTACTAGTACTAGCCCCACTATACTAGTGTGTGGCATGGACTCTTGCTACCTTTACATGCATGACATGTACGGTAGTTGTAGTAGGCCTAGTCACATCCTCGACATGCTCGATCTTCCTATTTCTGTGTAGCCCCATAAATAGGGCTGTAGTGGCTCTCTTTTACAATCTGTCTCTTTTCTATCGCGACAGAAAAGAGACTGATTGTAAAACTAGTAAAAGAGAGCCACTGCAGCCCTGCTTGTGAGTTGTGGGGCTAATTTGTGCGCACCTACCGAGGCTTGATTCTGTTTGGCCAGATGTTTCTGTAACCCAAAACAATAGTCGATTTCACGTTTCGTCAAAAGACTAATCAGCATTTATCGAGTTCTGGTGACCGATGTTGTCAAACTCCTCAGTTAATCAATAATATTAACAGTAATACTACTTGTATGACTCGCATAAAGCCGTAGCCTCGTCGTTGGGCTGGCAAAAGTTCCGCACTATCCATATGCCTGTGCGCGCGTGCATGCGATGTGTTTCGACAACGTGTCATCATCGTGCATTGAAGTCATATTCCTGGACTGCACCGTTGTCCTACACACGTTGCACGAAAACACATCAGGGGCACCACTGCCACAAGTGTGTTTTGGCAGGGATACCGTACACGATATGGGGCAGATGGGTACCCCTCCCCCCCACATGTCTTATCCCCATACGCACTCTAGTCTCTAAACTGTTGTTACCTAACACATCTCCCTCTACAAGTCTGCAAAGAATTCCTGAGATTCCGATCAAACAATGGCCAAAACAAAGACGGGGGAGTCTCTCTCCGCCCCATACCTCGCATCATGTTGGCTGAGCATGATGATTATTTGGTACAGTGGTGGCGCTGTTTCGAATGGCCGCAGAGTAGTGTTTGACGTCGGCGCGGTCAGCCGTAAAAAGATAAACAGGTGCAACTTGAGGAGCAACGGATGCGGAGATGCGGTATGTTTAGACCTTGTAATGCATTAAAAAAAACAACAACAACAAATGTTTACACGAAAAAGCTGGGCTAACATAGATTAGCCTTATAAAAAGTCATGTCGGAAAGTCTCTAGAGCCCGAAAAACTTCAACTTTTGAGAAAAAATCCATTGAGTCGGCCAATTTTGAAATTCAAAGCGAAGTCTCATTTTTTAAACGGACATCAGTGAAGGGGCAAAAGGACATTTTCTGACAAAATTAATTATTACCAGAGGACTGCAGTGGACATAAGCTATTTCTAGCTTTAAATGCTGCCCTATATATTGCCCTGGATTCATTATGTAGTTCTTTTATTTTGTTTAAGTTAATTATTTAATTCAGTTGTTTTGCTTGTGTATATGTAATCTGTAAGGGTGTTGTCAAATAAAAATAAACAAACCTGTCTACTCTGATGAAAAAAAAAATTAAATTATTTTGAGATAAAATGTACAGGTTTTTGCAAAGATTTTTAAAAAAGAAAGGGTCAGTGGCGCGAGGGGAAGGACAGGGGAAACTCGTTGGAAACGTGTTTGGAAAGGGTCGGGAAATTTCGCGCGTTACGATTGGCCAACGCGTTGCAAACTCTTGGTGGCGCACTATTTTGAATCGCCCGTATTCTTTACAGATTTCTAGGGGGGATGTGGTTTAATGGGTAACAATAGTCTAGAGTGTGTATAGGCATTGGACATGGGGGGGTACCCATCGGCCCCACATCGTGCACGGTATAGAATATAATGTATCCCACTGCACTGCAACGCTCAAATACGGGCGATTCACAATAGTGCACCTCTATAGGTTAGCAACGCCTTGACCAATCACTGTGCACGAAATCTGTCCACCCTTTCCAAACGCGCATTGGGTTTGAATCGACCATAATTATTGTTCACATAGCTCTGAACTAGTGACCGTAACAAAACCGTTGCATTGAGTTCAAACACGTTTGTAATGATAAGTGGTGTTTCTATGTTTCAAAACCAAACGAAACCAACCCCCCCCCAAAGCAACAACAAACACAAGCGAGGTACAGCCGGGCTCGGGGGGGGGGGAGCGGAATCGGCCCCAGCTGTGGGATGGGCTCAAATAACCCGCGTTTCCTTTTTCGAAATTCCTACACAAAGTCCACACTTTTCCTTCAAATCTTGACAGCTTGCGATGTTATATAGCCGTGTTTTTGTGTGTCACTAACCAATGTGCACATTCGTTAATAAAAGGAGCCTTCATTAGGATACATGTACACAAAACATCCCTCCCCTGTTTATTTGAAAAATCCAAACTGTTTTTACGGGCCTCATGCCTCTTTAAAAAACACAATGGCAAATGATCATTAGTTTCAGTTTAACTATCAATATTTTCTGGTCTGCTTTCTTTTTATCACAATAACAGCAATTTTCGAGTTAATTTGAAAGCAAACAAAAATATTAATCATAAAAAGGCTTATTTTTAGCACCAGCCGCGTGGGGGGCAGGCACCACGGCCAGATCGCCACAAAAGATAATGCGGTATTTCTTTTCATTGTGGCTTTTGAAACTGATGATATCCTTCACGAAAGATCTGAAATCTCATTTTTTTAAATGATGACACTGAACGTCCACCCTTCCTTCCCCAGTAATTATGGAAGAGTTTTTGCTGCACTCATTAAGACTTATATTTCTGTGAAGCTAAAAGTTTCACACTAAAATGCACGCTGCTCGAAATTCGTCGCGTTGATGTACTGGCACTACCTGGGGGCACGTGCCCCCTACAAATTTCGGTGCCCTCTAGGTCCCCCCCCCCAGAATAGATGAATGGATGTTGAACAATGCTAAAAAAAAACTTGCCCCCAAAAGCCACACCAAAGTGAAGCTGGTGCCCCCATAATATGCTAGTGCCCCTTTGTGCCCCTCAGGTAAAATCCTAGCTACGTCGCTGACTGCCACATCCTCCCCTTCTAGGTGCATTCCACTAAATGGGTAGATTTCTACGCGCGAGTTCAATTTTGTGATCCCATTGGAATTTTACAAAAAGAGGTGCCATCATTGGGAGCGATCACAGAGATATTTTCACGAATCACGAATTTGGGACTTCAGTTCTGATGTCGGCAACTGGGCGTATTTGGCTCACAAAAACTTCCAACTCGGGGGGCTTATTTTGCACAGAGGATCGAGGGGGGCTGAGAGCTGAGGCCATAGTTTTACTCCTATTTTGTGGGCGTTTTCGGTGAAGGGCGAACAGTAAAAATTCGCGTGGCTCCCCCCTTTAAAATTGAAAAGAAAACTTCTGGCCATAATCTTGAATTTCCAAAGGAAAGCAGGAGGCCGATCTCTCCTCAGTTTAGAGTCACTAGGCGGCGCTGTTTCTGTCCGATTTTGCAGTGTAATGTAGGCCACGTAATATGTACGACTAATGAATGGGGGGGGGGGGNGGGGGGGGGGGGGGGGAAGAGCAAGCCGCAAGCCCGAAAGATTTCCATGACGTCAAAGAGAAGGTTCGACCGTACCATTCGTTCTCATAGGGAATATCATTTTCGATCGGGGGGTTCGTTAAAGTGGATTTTGAGCTGACCCAAAAATCTGAAAATAACAATAACAAAACAAACAAATAAAAAGTAAAGGGAAACAAAAATTATTAATTAAATAAAAGTTTGACACACATCGATTCCCGTCATTCTCCGTGCGTCGACTGACAGGATCTTTCACAGTCATCGGATCCGGTATTTTCATCCCATGTTTTACGTTCCAGGAAACGTGACCATTCGTCCTCATAGTAACATCCCGGGAAAAAAAAAGAATTATAGTACAAACACCGTGAATCAGGGAAATATTGAAATTACAGACGACGACACTCGTCGCAAAAATTTGTGACTGTTGTCACAAACCGTTTGACTTCGTACATTAACTTTATCAATTCACACTTTACTTACTTACGTACCTACTTAAAAATAGTCTCCTCCAATTTGTCACGTGATAGTACATACTACACGCCTGCGCCAGTTGCAGCTCTTTCGCGGCGAACAAGATGTCGGTGCGGTACGAAAAAGACGGTGAGGTAAGAAATGTTCGTTAATTTTGCGAAAAACAAGACATTTGTGCCCCATATCAAGCAAGTTTCTTGTAAATTTTGTATTTGTCAATCGGAATATGTACCATTTGTCTCTTTTGGTGCTTATTTTCATGGTAAAATTGGCGTTTGCCGGTCTGCATTTTTTTTTGCTCGATGACTTCACGTGTGCTTTCTGCACGCACCAGAGTAGGCGTTGTAGTAGTATTCAATCATTGATGTCAATGATTTTTTGGCAAGCGCTGCACTGCATATAGTCAGGTCCGGGTCATAGGCTAAACCCTAAGCCCAACCTCGGCTCCATGGGCTGGGTGCGCGTTCCTTCACTAGCCCCTGGTCGTGTAGAATACGAAAATGACGCTGACACAGTGACTGGCTATTCAGAATGAGTATAGGCTAGGCTGCCTAAATGTAAAGTAAATCGCGGGCGTATTTCAAAATGCTGCATGCTCATGCCCACTCTCGTGCATGTCATGCACATGTAAATCTATATCATGCGTAAACACACCAAATAAAGGCGTAATATCTCGAATAGGCTAGTGGGTTAGTTAAATTATACAACACCAGGGGTTAGATCGTGCAACGCACGGTGGGAACGAGCATGGCGTGGCAAGAGCATACCTACAACTGCATTGTACATGTATGGGATCGAGGTTGCCCAAAGCCGGATTTGTTTCACTCGTTAAAATGAGGGGTATGTTATGAGGGATGTGGAATCCAGACAGGATGTAATTAACTTGTTTTTTGAGGGGATAATCCTGACGCTGGAAAACTGAAATCAATCATATTAAACATGAAAACTTGATTGAAAATTGAAAGGCAAACTGGCCCTGAGCTGAACATAGGCTCCTGGCCCAAGGCAGTAGGAGTGGCATTGCTGACACACACTGACACAGGGGGTCATGCCAGACCTACCATTATTTTTCATCAACAACCGTCAACAGATTCTGCAACCATTTTCATGCTTAAATAATTTATTTACAATATTGGGCAAACTTTGAAAATAATGTTTAGCATCCTCACATCTTTTTTGGGGCAGCTTCATTTTTTAAAAAGTTTTTCAAAAACAGCAGAATTGTCAACTGATTGATAGGAAGATTAAGTTTATACTTGCAAGTTGGAACTTCTGAAGTGACATTTTACTCTGTTGGTGACATGCAATCTCCAGAACTTTCAAACACGTCACGTATTGCTATGGCTGTGAATTGTGCATATGCCCCGAAATTTTGAAAAACCTGAATGCTAAACAAATTTTATAGTTGACCTCGTGTAAGCTCTTGAAAAATATTTTGACATTACATGACATTTTGTCATTACATTGTCATTTATTAGCCTTGTTGGTGTTCACAATTTCAGCAGTTAAGGGTTTGCAAAGCACATTTTTTTTTACTAACCCTAACTGCCCAAAACCTGCCATACTCCAACAGTAAGTTTTGTGAGGTTTTGGCAGGTTTGGTACTGTACC